TAGGGTAAAAGATGGGGTTCTAGAACTTCGTGGATATAACGCTGCGCGTTCATGTTACCTCTGATGAAGATTAAAGGTGACCTGGAACCATAAGCTATAGCACCCCAAACTATAACTCCAACAGTGTGATGAACATGTCTTTCAACAAAAAACTGTGGATTCCTCCTTTCACCACGTCGCCTTCTAACCCTGGCACGACCATCATGCATGCCTAAACAAAATCGAGACTCGTCACTAAAGACAATACTGTTCCATTCCTGATCCCAGAGTGACCGTTGTCTGCACCACTCAAGGCGATTACGTCGGTCTTCTCGAGTTAAAGGGAGGACCCAGTGTGGCCGGTATGAAAACAAGCCAAAACTTCTCATTCGTCGGTAAACACTTCGCATGCCAATAGGTCTTCCGTGTTCTGCAAACCATTAATTTGCAATGGACCTGGTAGTGGAGAAACGGTCCCTTAAGGCCAATAATCTTAGGCGGCGATCTTCACGGTCTGTTGTTCTACGGCGGCGTCCAGTGCCCCTTGTTATTTGCGTACGGCATTCTCGAAGCCATGCCTGACAACACCTAACCACAGTGTCTACACTTCTTTGCACTCTAACTGCAATTGCCCGAAAAGAAAGTCCAGCTTCCCGAAGTCCCACTATACGGCCCCTATCAAACTCACTAAGTTGACGAAATCGTACAGGTCTCCGTACTCTAGGCATCGTAACTGATCGTAAAGGATGTCAAGAACCAAAATCCGCCAACGTTGATTCTTTACTGCGGCTGAAATATTCATTTTTAGAGCGTTAGTGAATTAAAAAAAAGCAGTATAAAAACCGGAATGTCCAACTGATAAGGCTGACAATTTTTTCACTTTACAGTAAGATAAATACATTCACCAACTTTTATTAAAATAAAACCATTTAAACTGGGTGTTCGGATTTATATGTCACTTAGTATACATGGACTTCCGTTTTCTTCTCGATTCTTCTTCATCTTTCGTAGGTGGTAAACGGTCTTTGATTCTCGAACGCGGAGGTACCACGGATCTCATAGGCGGGGCCAGAATGTGTGCATGCTGCATTCACACGTGTTCCCTCGTCAGAGTCCCTGTGGTGTCCCCCCTTTCCCGTGTGTTTCCCCCTGCAGCACCACGGTACCTATGAGTGTTTAGGCCTTAGGCCTTCGCGGTAGTTGGAGTATAAAAAAAAAATCTAGAATTGATGCAATAACTGCAAGTTCAACCTCTGAAAATTTTGTCATCTCGACCTCACGTGATCACAACTTCACTATCAGAGCACGGAGAAAAATTCTGACCGGTGTGAATTGAGAACACTGTGAGCTCACGTCAGCGAGAATCACTGGCACGTCACGGCACTATCACGTCACGGCTGAGTGTGTATAGACCTTTAGACCTGTGGGAAGCCAAGATCAAACATTGAATATATCTCCGATTACAACGTTACCTTAAAGACACACATCAATACCGTGCCAGGGCAAGAACCTCTACGAGTATCGGACTGTTCTGATAAGCGCATCCGTAAGAACGAATTGATTACACTCGTCAACACTGGTTTTGCCACACGAACTTTGACAGCTAATTTTGTTTTATCAGTCTACCCTCATTATTACATGACAGCTGTCATATGTCTATTAGCCTCATATTTGTTGTGATACGGTAATACTCATAACTACTACTACGTTGTTGAATTTGAACACTTTTTTGTGATTTATTAACCCTGTGAATATGTCGAGGAAGTGTAATAATGATCCTAACTCTTTTTGTTATGTCTGTGGAGAACTAACATTCAAAAAACAACGACGAAATTTTACGAATCTTGTGTTGGAGTGTTATCACCAATGTTTTGGTTTTCTGTCGCCCATCAAGACAAATCCTGGGCCCCTCATGTCTGTTGCATAACGTGTGTGAAAAATTTAACTGACTGGAAGAAAGGTGCACGACCTATGCCGTTTGCTGTACCCATGATATGGACTGAACAGCGAGATCACGTTTCAGATTGCTATTTTTGTCTCACAGACATAAAAGGTATAAATTACAAGGAAAAAACCACAGTTATTTACCCTAACTTATCTTCGTCTATAAGACCAGTCTCTCATTGTAAAAAATTGCCAGAACTAATACCAGTTGCAACTACGTCTGTTGAGAACTATTCACAACCGTCCACTTCAGGTGAATGTGTTGACGAGGACGATGACTTTGAGTTAAAAGGAATTGTAAACGAGCCACATTTGATAACTCAAGGAGACCTAAATGATTTGGTTCGGGATTTAAATTTGTAAAAAAGCAGTCAGAACTATTAGGATCACGTCTAAAAGAATGGAATTTGCTACATCATAATACAAAAGTTAGCTATTTTCGAAACCGTGATCAACACTTCAGAACGTATTTTTCTCAGGATGGAGATTTGGTGTTTTGCAATAACATAAATGAGATTATGAAAATGTTGAACATAGATTTTGATCTCTCTCAGTGGCGTTTATTCATTGATTCTTCGAAAGCAAGTCTAAAAGCAGTGTTATTGCATAATAGAAATAAGCTTCCGTCTGTACCTCTGACCCATGCTGCAAATATGAAAGAAACCTATGAAAATATGGAACTTTTACTTGAAAAAATAAATTACAGTACATATTCCTTCAAAATCTGCGGTGATCTTAAAGTTGTTGCACTATTACTTGGACTTCAGCTGGGTTATACAAAGTTTTGCTGCTTTTTATGTGAATGGGATAGCCGAGACAGAACTAATCACTATATAAAAAAAACATGGCCTACGCGTGCATCGTTAGTTCCTGGGCAAAAAAACGTAAAGTATTTACCCATTGTACAGCCAAATAATGTGCTCCTACCACCATTGCATATCAAATTAGGATTAATAAAAAAATTTGTGAAGGCAATGGATCGCAATGGGAGTGGATTTTTGTATCTAAAAGAAAAATTCCCTAAAATAAGTGATGCAAAGGTAAAAGAGGGTATTTTTGTTGGCCCTCAAATTAGGGAGTTAATAAAAGATTCAAGATTTGAAGAAAAATTAAGCGATTTAGAAACATCTGCATGGAAGGCTTTTAAAAATGTTGTTGCACATTTTTTGGGTAACCACAAGAGTGACAGCTACAGAGAGTTGGTTAGCGAGCTATTATTGTCATATCAAGCATTGGGTTGCAACATGTCACTTAAGATCCATTTTTTAGACTCGCACCTGGATTTTTTTCCTGACAATTTAGGGGCTGTCAGCGACGAGCACGGTGAGAGGTTCCATCAGGACATTTCTAATATGGAAAAGCGGTACCAGGGCAAGTGGAGCCCAAATATGTTAGCAGATTACTGCTGGACAATTAAAAGGGACCAACCAGAAGCTAAATATTCAAGAAAATCTTAGATTATTAAGTCATTTATAAAAAAAATAACTTTTGATTTACGAGATCTGTGTTTTTTCTTAATATTTTAAATTACTCAATAGAATAAAATCCTTGTCTAGCAAATTTTTTTAACTATTTATTTTTTCTTACAATCACCAATTAAAGTAAAAAATATCAAAAAAGCCCGTGTGGCACGACAAAGTTAAAATTTTGTTGACCAGTGTTATTTGGATACAGCAACTTGAGATATAGAATAAATGAACGCTGACAGGATTTGATCTGCCAGTTTTTGAAAGAACAGTGGAGAGAAGGTACTTGGGTAGGACTGAACTTGCTGCTATCATTTGACCCTAGAAGTTAGTTAAGAGTGCTGTAGACTAGTTGGTAGGTCACCTGTCACAGAGTGGCATATATGGACGTTCAATCTCGCAACGCTCTTTTTTATACTGAAGCAGCCAGGTAGATAGAAACCTGAATATCAAGGCAAAGCTGCTGCTGTAAGAAGCGTGCTAATCCGATTTTTGAACTGCCTAAAGTTAGTAGAACTGGGAAAACCTCATCATGCGGATTGTTTCTCAATCTCGACACTGTTGCGAGGAGTCATACCGGTCAGTTCTGGATCTATGAAGTTTGGCAGACTTAGGATGGGAGGCAGAAGTCTGCCGTATCCGCATGAACGACTTCAAAGTGGAGAGCTCTGAAAGTCCGTTGAGATAGCGGTAGAACAAAGAGAGGGAGAGAGACTGTCCATTAGAGAAGTGTCCTCTGAGCGGCGTCGAGTATAGACAATGTGTAGGCGCAACAGCACCCCAAACATGTAAGCAGTACACGAGTCCAGAAAGTATCTAATCATTGTATAGGGTGAGGAGGTTATGTGAACAAATAACCTATAGCATTTCAAAATCATGTTCTGGGTGATCTGGACTCCGATCAGCCGAAATGAGTGGCAGAGCTCGGCCATTCATCAAAACCGAATGAACGCTAGGGTACTTCTCGTTAGCAACACTGTGTTGCTGTTTCCAAAGACTACTCTTAAGTTGACAAAACAGCATCTATTCAGTGCCTTATTACGATTCAGAGCAGAGTATCTATAACATTTGGTAGAAAGCGAAGACATCGTTAGACTGCCGACTCTAACGACCTGTAGTATGCATTAATATTCTGCTACAAGCGACGAGGCACAGCATCTATGAGGATTTTCCCCCTGAAGCCACAGCCATTATTTCTTCAAGTCTGAAGCTCGCTCTTACGCTCATTACTCCACGAATGCTCGGTACCTGTAATTTTCGTGTGCCGAGCATTATAGAGGAGCATAATATATCCGTGAGCTTTTTTCATTGGACGTCTCTACATGAGACCTACGAGTCTCATTATTACGATTTTAATTTTCTTCTTTTGGCTTTCCTCTCTTACTAGCAAGGCAGTATTGATATCGCGAAGATGAGATATTGGTATGTTATACAGGGTGTAAACGTTATGACAGTCATTATTTAAGTGAGTGATAGAGGGGGTTAGAAGAAGCAAAAAGTTTCCTATAACATGGTGGTCAAAACGGCATTTTTTAGAGAAAAGCGTAAAATAAAATCTGACAACGCCGCAATGCCAGATGCAAATTATTACGGAACGCAGTGTGAATAAAGATGGTGTATGTTATTTTTGGCTCTTAGGTATATATTATTCCATTATTTGATAATGTACTCGTAAAATGCAAACAATTAAAAAAAACGGACTTACCACTAACTTTCTCAGCGCTTCACCTGGTATGTGAAAGTTTTTTAGATTATTAAAAAAATCCACTTATAAATAGGGAACACAATTTTGATACGTACATTGTTTTTCTTTTTAAAACCCACACTGCACTTTTTTTGTATTTAAAGAAGGTGTTTAAAATGCCGTCCTCCACTTTCCACACGAGCTTGCTTACGACGAACCCAGTTTCTTCTTACTCTACGTTCTGGAAGATGTCCATTTATTATTTCAGCCGCATTAAAATCTTTTTCGCGAAGTTGTGCTTCAGTTGTTATTGGACCAGTCCCATAAACCATCCCTTTAAGTTCTCGCCAATACCAGAAATCCATCGGATTGAGGTCAGGAGATCTTGCTGGCCATTTTCGAGGATAAGGAGCATAAAAAGGTGTGGGAGTGCATCGTCATGAAAAAACCCTAAATTTTGTCTCCATTGTAATGGCATGTTGTCTAAGGTCTGTTCCAAAAGTTGTGGTAGGTTATCCCGAAAGAGCCAATTACCTGATCGTCAAGAATACCCGCCCAAATATTTATTTTAAAGCGTTGTTGGAAGTGACTATCACGAATGAGATGAGTATTCTCTTGGGCCTACGTGTGAGTATTATGAAAATTTAATATCCAGTCTGGCGTAAAAGTACATTCGTCCGTCGCTAGAATGTTTTTAAAAAAAATCCGGATTTTCAATGTTTTTGTGCAAAATCACTGACAGAATGTTAGTCTGCGAGGATAGTCTTCTGGTAACAAGGCCTGCACTCGTTGCACATGGTAGGGATAAAGCAAATGTTTCCGTAGGATTCTATGGACTATGGTATGCGATAGTCCTACGCGGCGGCCTAATTCCCGAGTGCTGATATCTGCATTGATTTCCACGATATTTAAAATTTGTTCCTCCTGCTCTACAGTAACCTGTCTTTCACGAGTGCGAATATTAGTGGGCTGAACACTTCCTGTATCTCGAAGACTTTGGTACACTTGCACAAATGTCCTTCTGCCTGGGTATACCCGTTGGCGAAATCTATCGCGATAAATTTGAGCTGCAAATTTTGAATTCTGACGAGCTTCACCGTAAGCTAAGAACATGTCGGGGAACTCTTGATTCGAGAACTTTGTAAATAAACACGACGACGTACGCGAACAAAAACAAGACAACACGCCCGATGCTCTGCTCGACAAAACGATAAAGTAATTTAAGATAAGAGTGATGAAAGACCGACGCACTGTTGTCATGTGTGTTCTAAATATTTAATTTAATGAAACTTACTGACTACAAATTTTGGCTTAACTTAGAAAAACTTTATGCCATTTATTTGCTAATTACCCAATTTAAAAACTTTTAGATTAGATTATAAAAATTAGTAGGATTGTAGTGATTGTAGTCTATATAAAGCACTTAGAGTTGTAAAGTATAAAGCGATTCAGACAAAAATCTGTTGACTTTTGGACCATGGGTCATATGAACTTTTTCACTTGTTTTGACGCCCCCTATTACCCATTTCAATAATGACTACCATAACGTTGACACCCTGTATGACATGTGCATCACTAAGAACCGTGTCACCCATTACCGTTTGTCTGTCCGCTAATTCTTGGCCTGTCTGTAGCTGGGAAGGTACTGCTGGCATTTGTATGTAGCTTTTGAAAACCGGATCAATGGGGGCGGAGGAAAAGGCCGGAAACGAAAAATTGAAACTCACTCAAAAGCCATTTTTTGACGTTCCAGAAGATTCGGATAATTAAAAAAAATGGAGAAATAGAAAATTAAGGAGTGGTGCTTGCAGAGTGTGGTGCCTCAATTTTATGACGTTAGGATTATAACGCGTATAACGCTCCAAACATAGGTAATCCTACGCACATATTAGACATATTTCACACACCGTAGACTTAGAATGTTCTTTTATTACTACCGCGCTGCCGCGTCTATCTGGCAGGGCTTGAACGTAAAAAATCTAAAAAACCAAAAAATATCAACCTGCTGAACTAGATAGTTTCTAATGTGCAAATAGTACATTCCGCGTTTGGTCGCAATGAGCGCCCATCTATGGAATAAAGACTCAACATCACACGCTGCAAGCTGCAATCAGTCCCCATCATGCTTTGTTGGTTTCACAATGCCGAGATAACCTGTAGCAAAATCACATCTAGATGTTTATGTGTTGGTTTTCATCTGTATAAAATCAGTGATATTTGCTATGTGAGTAAATTATAAATGAATATGCTATCCATGAAATATATCTATTAGCTATGCTAGATGGGTTATTTGTGTGGTCCTTTCTGAAAAGAGGTTATGTTCAAAGCTATATTATGATTTCGTTACGTTTTGAAAGACTTTGAGGAACATTACGGGAAATCAGCACCGCACCCGCGTTTGGTGTATGTTAATTAAGCCACATCACAGAAACACTATTAATGACGCATCACATACAAAACAATTTCGCACTACCGAACATCCAGGCGCTGATTAGTATTTTCTACTTGATTGTCTTATCGCTCTGTTTTTTTTTTTAAATTCAGCAAATTTTTAATGTCACTTTTCAAGATAGTTATTAGAGAAAGGCAACATCACCAGATGGACTGCCGTTAGAGTAAAAACCAATGACGTCTTACCCTGCAAGTGATTCATAAGTCCGCCGTTTGTTATGTTCGCAAACCTCAGTGGCGGGAAATACGAACTTTCATTCATAATTTTATGAAATTGGCCCCAGGCTTGGAACAGCATAACGTTCAAGGTCAACTACGGAATTCCCACCAAAGGCGTATCACAATGTGGGCCATAAAGGGCTATAAAAACCAATAAAGTTCTCAGTATATTGAAGGTTTGTTGTATGTATACTATTATTAAGGTGACCATACTTCCCACATTCGGACTCTGTCCTACTGTTCCTGACAAAAGGCTGGCGACATATAAATGTCCCTCTTTTTGGTCGTGGTATCTCCAACAAAAAGCATGGGGACGAAAAATATCCTACTTTTTCCAAATCATACGGAATATGTACAATTTTCGAACGACGTTGTTAGCAAACCCCCTCCACTCCCCCGCTCTTCAAACTTCTAATAATCGGCCATCAATGTAAAAACTGAAGTGTGTTTACACTTTGTGCTTTCATTTTATGATTGTAAAAAAAAATAGCAAAATATGTGCCTTTTGTGGTAGGTACTAGACCCCAATTTACAAGTAATAAATCACAGTAAATACCTACTTAAACAATATTTATTTCATGGTTTACAAAATACGAGGGATGTTAATTAAGTTTTGCATATAGAAACATAGTAGGCCGCGCGGATCGAACGTCAGTACTGAATCTGAACCTCACTCTTTAGTGAACTTAAATTCAAAGTTTCACAACACCGAGCTTCGAAAAATCAACCCCGGAAGAAGAATCATCCTCCACCAAGTCAATGCAAGCTCGCACACAGCCCAAAAAACAAGGCAGTATTTAACGGAAGAAAACGTGGAATCATTGGACCATCCTCCATATAGTCCCGATCGAAGTCCTAACGATTCCTTTACTTTCCCGAAAATTAAAAACAGATTGCGTGATCAAAGGTTCCAGTCACCAGACGAAGCAGCTGACGAATTCAAAAATGCTGTTTTGGATCTGCCAGCAAACGAGTGGAATAAGTGCTTCAAAAATTGGTTCGAGCACATGCCGATGTGTATTAGTCTTCGTGGTGAATACTTCGAAAAACAATAAGGTCATTTAAAACTACCTACGGTGTTGTTTTATTTCCGTATGCAAAACTTAAAAGACATCCCTCGTATGGAGATCAATCAATGCAAAATAAAATTTTCTTGACATCAACTTACAAAAAGTTGTTGACAAAAGACAGGAAGCAGTAGCATGTTCCCTACATGTAAAATATGAACATCTATGAAACATTGTAAAAAGTCCTGAATTATTCATATTTCTTTAACAAGATATAAGTGAGATGAATTAGTTAATGCTCCAGTGGTAATTCATTAGGAAAAAATAATCAATCTATGGCGGTCTTGCATAGATCAGAAAACAGAAACACAGTCTAAGGAAGGACAATTACCGTAAAATCATTTATGGGGTGTATGGCAAAAAGATCTTTGTCGATTTTATAATTAATCTGATGACTGTAACTTGGTATTTAAATAAAACAGTTTTAGTGTAGATTCTCCTTACTCTATCCTTGGTTTTACTTTTTTTGGATGCTTCGTAATGAAGCCTAACCTCAAAATATTTTTTGAGTATTATTTTCACCTAAGTTATTGCATGGCCATCTAATGGGTCGTCCTCAAAAGATGATCTCCAATATAATCAAATACCTTGGAGGGTATCACTCTATATGTTCCATTAACTAAAAGTGTCATTAGATTTCTTATTGTTTTATTATGTATGCCTGCCGTTTTGTCAAAAAATCTAAAGTATTTTTTACCTTCTTTACACATGTAAAAAAATATAAAATAGGGAGTGGATCGGGAAAATGACGCACGCCACGCCAATGAGTAGAATCGTAAACATAACCTTACCTTCACTTTCTGCTTTGCCGGCCTCAACCTTACGCAAAAAACACTTTTACCTCACCATAATTAAATAAAAGTCTAAAGAATACTTAAAAATACAAGAAAATCAAACGTATAGTACACGGATAAAGGCGAAGTTCAAACAAAATAATAATGACAGGCGATGACTCACTCTACTACAAGGTAATACTACAACCAAGTGCAGCGTTGCCGTATGTAAACGTTAATCACAAATATGCAGAAAATACTCTGGTTTGTATTATACCTCGATTTGTATTAAAATTCGCGTATTCTTCACTTGTTCTATAAATTATTATAGGTATATAAGAATATACATAAATTTCTTCTAAAAGAATCTTTCTGCAACAGAAATAGGTCATTTGTCTAGTTGTGGATACCATGGGGCCAATGTCAAAACGACCGTGGGGCCAACTTGTTTGGCAACATCGCAAAAAGAGTGATTGTTGTAGGGGAAGAACTTTTTTAAACATTCCAGGTCTATTTGGGTAAGACGTCATTGGTAAGAACAGAATCTCTATGAACTTTATGAGCTGATGTCGGCGTTGCGTGAGAAGTGCAGAGTTAACCTACTTGACGCGATTTTTCTCGTTTTCCCTGGTAACGGACCGAATGAGTTTTTGAGATTACAGTCTATCTCTGTACCAAACTCTATCGAGGTCAAGTCAGCCATTCTGGCGTAACTGAATTAAAAACATGCACACTTTTTCACTGATAATATTAGTAGGATGTAGGATAATTTATTGTAGGTACTACTGTTTACTGTAAAAAAGTAATTATTACATATGTGCTTTTATTTGACCAGAAGGTCAAGGACATCTATTAAGCCACTATGGTACATGTGTGTCATCCTGACGTCATTTTACATAACCAAAATGAACTCTCTTTCTGGATGCCATTATCTGTTTCCTATAACAACACGACATACATAACATTTCTATTGCACTTGTCGTACTTTAAAAGTTTCGCGACTCTGATTATAGAGAGATAAACTGTAAACTCTGGGCAACCATGAAATATGTAGAGCTCCGAAACTTAAATTTTCGCAGCGAACTCTGGAAGTTTCTCGGGGATCCCGACCGAGATTATGGGTTCCGAGAAAGTCAGATAAATTATCCCATCGTTGGTGACAATAAAAGTCTGCGCCATGGGGAGAAATCTTTAAAAGCTTTGATGCGGAAATGTCAAGTAGAAAGTAGAGCAGTAGCGCTTCGCTCATGTCGCCGTCTATAAGAGATTTTTAATCATTTGTGTACTTAAGCACATTTTTCGTACATACGTAATGGTATGCTATGCTGTGGTTCGCAAGGAGGTTCCTCACAGACCAGCCAACATTTCGTAAATTTGGAGGACCTAACTGCATAAAAAAAAATTCCAAATTTTTTTTCTTCACACTATTTCCTAGAATTCCGAAGAGCCTGCAACTTCAAATAATGGGTGATTTTTTTGCTAGTATCTTTTTGGCAACACTGTTTTTGACAGATGACGCGTGAATCGTGTCTTGTGTCACTGTCAAACTGGTTCAGTTTGGTATATAATTTAACCATGAATCGACTGACGAACGATTAACGCTTGCAAATTATTGAATTTTACTATCAAAATGCATGCTCGGTTAAGAGAGTGCATCGAGCACTGCTTCCAATTTATGGGCAATTTGGTCGGCCTACTGAGGGAGCTATTCGGAAGCTTGTGACTAAATTTCGAACCCAGTTTACATTATTGGACATTAAACCACCAACACGCAGACGTAGAGTGAGGACTGAAGAAAATATTGCGGCTGTATCCGCCAATGTTAGTGATGACCGTGAAATGTCGATTCGCCGCCGTTCGCAGCAATTGGGCCTCTGTTACTCCACTACGTGGAAAATTTTGCGACAGGATTTGGATGTCAAACCTTATAAGATACAGCTGGTGCAAGATTAGAAGCCACACGACTTCCCACCACGTTTCCAATTTGGTGAATGGGCGCTGGCGAAGTTGGAGGAAGATCCACATTTTTATCGAAAAATTGTGTTCAGCGACGAAGCTCATTTCTGGTTGAACGGGTACGTTAACAAGCAAAATTGCCCCATCTGGAGTGAAGACCAGCCAGAAGCATTGCAAATTCAAACGATGAAAGGTGTTATGCCAGCACTTACACTTCGGCTCGTACTTCTTCAAAGACGACAATGGCCGGAACGTAACTGTGAATGGCGAGCGCTACCATGCGATGAAAAGAAACTTTTTTTTGCCCAAAATGAAAGAGCTGGACTTGGCTGACATGTGGTTTCAACAAGACGGTGCCACATGCCACACCGCACACGAAACAATGACCCTATTGAGAGGCGAGTTCGATGAACACTTTATCTCACGTTTGGGGCCCGTCAATTGGCCGCCTAGATCGTGTGATTTAACGCCGTTGGACTATTCCTTGTGGGGCCATGTTAAGGCTAATGTCTACAGGGATAAACCAGCAACGATTGACGCACTGGAAGCCAATATTGAAGCATTTATTCGTGAGATACCGGCCGATATGTTGGAGAGAGTGTGCCAAAATTGGACCTTGCGCATGGGCCATCTAAAGCGGAGCCGCGGCCAACATTTACATGAAATAATCTTTAAACATTAAATTATATCGACCGCTATATTGACTCAAATAAAGATTTAATTGTTTTTTCAAATTTTTTGTGTTTTTTTTTGAAAATCAAATCCTATACCTCTTAAAAAATCACCCGTTATATTTTGGCCACAATGTCCAAACACTAGACATTCGGAGCTTAGGATGCCTATCTTGAAAAATGAGTATGTTTTATTTGGTCGCTCAATTTTTTTCATAACTGTATAATAAATTTACTATATTTTAAAAAATCCACTACTAAGCTACCAAAGTTGAGCGTTAACAAAGAGGTATGGAGTTATCTATCTGAATATGCAATAAAATCTGGGATATTTGGCATAAAATGAATTACATTTTTCTTGACGGAATGTTCCATATTTCATTACACATTTGTGTAAATTCTTTCAAAAGAAGGAGCTTTGCTGAAGCGTTTTGATGAGGCTCAATCTTGCAGCCCTGCCATTTTTACAATTGTGGCGTAAAATGAGTTTTTCATGCGCCAGTACAGAAATATGTTGCAAGGTGGCTTCCAACCACAATCTAATAATTTTCAACTGCCACTTTCACGATAAAATGTATTAATGCATCAACTTCACATGGGTATCACGTAAAAAACCTATAAAACGTCAATAAAACCTATAAAAATGTCATCTTGCAAACTAGTTAGTTTTTAGGGCGCAAAAAGTCATTCCACGTTTGCTCACTAGGATCGTTGTGAACGTCCATCTAAGGAGAAATCACTCAACTAAACTACACGCATTATTGGTTGCATAATGTTTTGTGAGGCCAAATGGTCCTTGTCTGTAGCTTTTATATCTGCGAAGAAATTTGGTTCAATAGCAAGATCGTATCTGGATGATTATGTGTATTGGTCTGCATGTGTATAAAATCAGGGATATTTGCTGTGTTAGAAAATCATTACTGAATATGCTGCCAATGAAGTATATCTATTGGCTGTGCCTGACGGGTTATTTTTATGTTGTGCTTTCTGGAGAGGGTATGTTCAAAGCTATAAATTTTAATTACTGTTGGTAAGTATATGGCTTGTAATTCGACAGTATACAGTGAATATAATTATTTCTTATCTCTCTCATTTTTTAAATTCAGCAAGTTTGTATATGTAATTTCCAGAATGGATAAGAAAAAGTGCACTAGGTATGTATAGTAAGACCAATTTCTGTGATTGCTGGAGTACCGTTACATCCTGATAAACCCGACCAATGTCATTGAATTCGACTGGAATCAAAAATAAATGAGTGTTTATTTTTAGAACCCTCGATTGGTATATGAAAGTCCGTCGTAACATATCCAACAAATACGTGGGAGAGGGTGTAAATGATGAATGAATGTTGAATGCATACCTGTGAGGATAACTTTGAAGGCCATGACGTCTGTTATTATCAGGGTGTTGAAAGCATTATCCAGCAAATCAATCTTCAGATGTGAAATACGTAGAAAACGCACGGGAGGGCCGCAATGTACGTATAAACCTTCAGCTTAATAAAATAGCTCCGGCTTATACAGTGTGAGTCTTCATAAAGTGCACATATCAAAATCAGGGAAACTACACTCTATTTCATCGACGGATA